TCCTACTCCTATTTAGGATGGTTTTGATAGACAGAAATAATTCTCTTGTCACTTGTTACCGAGAAGAATTATTAATTTCGCTTTGTCTGTAGAAAGGCAAAAGGCAGCAATCATGCTGCAAAGTAGGCTGCCCAAATTGGTGGACTTTCAGCGTCTCCTCCCCATCACATCTTGCACCGAAGAAAAGATTCCTTAATGGTGCCACGTTCCGTTAGAACAGCAGAACGACAGAGTTTTAATTGACACATACTATGTCTTAGGAAAATAACAGGCAAACTCCCTGGCCATTCAATTACCATATAAATAAGAATGTGCATATATCTGCTCGCATATCAGCATCTTCTTTTTTTTTTGGGGGGGGGGGTGGGTTGTTGATGAAAATATGTTAATGGGTAAAAGCAGCTTTTCATTTGAATAATGACTTAATGCTTCTGTGAATTTCAGATGGTGGATTAAACCCTCTCTTTCAAAGTTTGCAATTTCCCTATAGTTCACCAGCTGCCTTTGCTCAGGGGAAAAAGGCAAACGGGAGGCTTTGGACCTCAGCACCTGCCGGGGTGCTGAGTGGCTTGTAAATCTGTTTGGGGAAATGAAGCCTGCGAGTCCTCGGCTGCCTCTTGTGCGGAGGAGCCCCAGTGAGGGGAGCGAGGGCAAAGGCCAGCGAGGTGTTTCATGCCACAGCACCCACTGGGCCGGGACAGGGAGGCTCGTAGCAGTGCCTTGCATGTGGACAGATGCTTTGGGTGCTGCCCATCAAGTTGGCTTCAGCCCAGCTCAAAAAGCATCAAGACGCAGTGGAAACAGCCCCCCTACCACCAGGCAGGCTGTAAACGCGCAGCTCAGCGGGCAGCGCTGCTACCGCTCCATTCCCGCAGGGCAGCTCCAAGGCTCAACGCCCAAGCAGGTCCTGCTGCTCAAGCGTGCCTCCGTGCTCCTCAGATTTCCATTCCAGGAAAATCAAGGCTACACCTCAGCTCGGAAATTCAGGGTGCAGGGCTGTCCTTGGGTGGGTGTTCAGTTTCAACTGATGGCTGCAATCGCAGCCTGCTCTGAATGAGCTGCTAACACATGAGCTCCCACTAGGTGGACGGCTCCTCTTTCTGCGCGCTCCTCCGCCTCCTGCCCGCTCGGCTGACAGCAGGAGAAGAGCACCTTATTGCAGGGCTCATTCCTGCAGGGACCATCTCCCAAGTGCCCTTTTCCACAGGTAGACTTAGCCCATCTCTCTGAATAATCCAGCCTGCGAGTTACGAGCTCCGAGTCATATACATGCTCAGACTGAAGGCAGCAATAGCCTCCAGATCTTCCCAACGGTGAGGCTTATTTTTCCAAAGGGAATTCTTCAAAGTATCTGTGCCTTTCTATTCCTCTCACTGCAGAATAAGAATCTACATCCACTCACATCCTGCTACATAGGGAAAGGATGCATGTTGTACTGTGAACTAGGAGTGGTGCAACTAAAGGCAGGTATAAAGAGGTATCTTTGTTTATAATTGCTGCTTGTAGCCATTATGCTTCTCTCTTAAGGCCCATCATTGCAAAGGCCGTGCTAAAATGCAAGGACCTATTTCATTAGTTCAGACGGGGTTCCACTGGCAGAAGGGTGAAATTCAGCTTACCCTTCATCTTGATCAAAAAGAAAAGATTAGTAAGCAGGGCTCAAGCAAGCATGATATAGATTTTAAAATCATATTTTAAAATACTTCAGTTTTAGTTCCTTTTATATACCATCTGTATTTTTAATCCACAGAGAGCACACTTGGATTACTAATTTCATACATCCATTTTAAAAAGGAAGAGACAATATTCCATAATAGAGTACACAGAAGTTGAGCGTAACAGATATAAGGCAGCAGCAGCCATATGGAACATGAATAGGGCTGCCTTGCTTTGCTACCCATTAGCGTCTTGCTCTTGCTCCATATGGTGAGTGAGCTCTGTTTACATGACTTTGATGTCTAGGCATCTACGTTATTGGAGCTGTTAGCCAATTAATAAAAATCTACCGCCATATGTGCTGATTTCAGCAGTCAGGTTTCTTGGATTTGCAGTGGAAACCGATTTGGGAAGATCCCCGCTCTAAACTCTGTTCCGATCACGCTTCGCATGAGTGACTGAAGGTTATTTGTCAGTTGTTGATACATTCAGAAAGGGATACACAACCTCACACTTTGGTTGAAGACCAGGTATTTTAAGGATTCTCTTGAAAGCTTTCTGAAGGACAGATTTTGTCATGTTTTTCCACTAGGAAGTGTCCACGTTCAGAGGCAGGATGAACTCTAGGTCCAGTAGACCATTGCTGGGGGCCTACACATGTCTCCATGTATGCCTTTGGTGAGGTTATTTCTCAGAAAAATGCATGTATGGCATCTTTCTCCACATCTCTCTGCTGATCTCTGTCCTCCAGGAATTGCCAGCCTGGCTCATTTTGCCTTATGTTTTCATTATCTCCTGAACGAACACATTTATTTTGTAAGCAGCGGCTCAACACCACTTGCTCTGTGCCACAGAATGGTTCTCTTGCACTGTGCTTTCGTGTCTCATAATAAACTTGTTTTTGCCAGAGTAAATGTTTTGCTGATAAACTCCGTGACGCTAACTCAGCAAATGAGGATCTAGCCCATATTAATTTCCTTTACAAGGGAATGACTTTGAAAAGAGCCCGTGGATTCACTGGATGCTGTTACCGTAGCTCACGAACATTAATTACCATGGAATTTCCTGCCTGAAGAAATCCAGCTGGGAGTTCATAAGCATGCAGGAAGGCAAATGTGGAGGAGAAACAAAAATCAAACAGCTCTTCAGTCACTTGAATCTTGCTTTTGAATCGCAGCTTTCTTGCCGCACACTATTCCACTCCGTAGCAATGAAAGGCTCTGAGAAGTTGCATGAATGGGAGAAAGCATTAAAGAAACAAAAGGGGAAAACAAGCAATTCCGTTTTACTGACACATCAATTATTTTTACTACAAATGGTATAACATGAACTTCTCCTTGCTTTTTATCTCATGTTTCTGCTTTATTATCCGTACAGTAGTACTGCAGTGCTGTTTTAGAAATTACAGACACATTCCAAGAGGTGGTTCCATTCAATCCATGTATTTCTGTCCTGGTAACTGACACATTATACCTCACAGTACATAAACACACTATACAAAGCCATCCCTATAGAAGCTGTTCATTCAGACAGGGAAAAGGACCTAGAGCAGCTGAGGTATGACAGGGAAGAGCTTCATGCCACGTGAGGGATATGGAAGTGGAAAAGTCCAGCCAAAAACCTGGAGTTATGTTCCTTCCTTCCCCCTTGTGCTGCTGTTATAGGGAATTAAATGTCATTCTTTGCAAGCACCTCACCATGGATAATGCCTAGAGGAAGGAAACCTGGAATCTCCTACTAATTAGGAGCTAATTAGGAAAGTCTGTGGAAAAAGATGTCTCTTAGAGCACACTAATATTAGAGAAAACTCTCTGGGTACTGTAAATCAGTCTGACACGTCTTTCACTCATTCACTTCATATCTCCTTTTTTCTTAAATGGCGGCTGGCTGCATTTGGACACAAATAACGTAAAATTTTGATTTGAAGTACTAATAAGGTTTTAAATACTGGATGTGTTAGTAAAAAGGAAACTACAAGCACTGTTTTTCAGTTGCTCTTTTGTGGTTGGGCATAAAGTGTCAGTATAATAAAAACACAAATGTATCTGAAACAGGAAAGAAACGTGTGCAAAGCAGTATCAGCCTATTGAAGTTATGCACATAAAATCACAAAGGCTTGAATGTGAGCGAATCTGGAAACTAGGCAATCTATAATACACAGAGTTTTCCAAAGAAACCTTTGAAGACACTCTGAAGGGATAAATAAATAAATAACATTGAGCTTTTTTAGAATGATGACTAACCCAAGATCACTGACAGGCATGCTGCATTTTAATTTGAGATCAGACTTGGTGACCATAGCAGCCCAGGAAAGACACTGAAAAGTCTTTCGACTTTTGTGGGGAATTGGTACTTGCTGAGGAAAAAAGGTGATCCAAGCATTAAAAAAGGGGTGATCCAAGGAAAAAAAAAAAGGGGGGGGGATGATCCTAGCAAAATAAAAAAAAAAAAAAAAAAAAAAAAAAAAGAGTGATCCAAGCAAAAGAAAAGGGCGATCCAAGCAACCACAGGCTCTTTTATCTGACCTCATTAGTACATAGCGCTTCAGAAAAAATGCTGAAGGAAAAACTAATTAAAATGAGGAGGTAAATGGAAAGCTGGTTAAAATGCAGCAGGGCTTCATCAAGGATAGAAAATACCACACTAAGCCAGTATCTTTCTCTGATATTTTTTTCCTTTTTTTTTCTTTTCTCTCGAACAATGAAAATATGGTAGATCAAATCTATCTGGACTTCAGTAATGCATTTGAGAGGATGCCGTGTGAGGAAATATTAATTAAGATGGAGAGATGCGAATGAATGTAAGAAATGAAAAGTAAGGACAAAAGCACGTGCTGGAAGGGGAAGGAGCCTGGGTGTAAGGCGATTGCTAATGTAGTTCCTCAGGGGCTGACCCGGTCTCCAATCTTAGTTGAAATTTTTATTAGTGACCTTGGCACGAAGTCTGTGGCTTTGTTAACAAAACGGGCCAACGACGTAAGCCTAAGAGCGGCTGCTTCCAGGAAAGGCCTGGAATGCCCTGCGGAAAGAACGGGACAAGCCTGCGGACACGAGGGTGAGAAAGGATATGAGATTGCACGGGAGAAGGGCCACGTTGGGCAGGGAGCAGAAATCCCCGTTCATCCCCGCGAAGCCGGGGCGAGCCGGGGACACGCTCGTGCCTCGCACCGGGTGAAACAAACCCGGCGCGTGGAAAGCGAAAGCCACGGGCTGCCCTAGCGCTCCCCAACGGCCGCCAACGGCCGCCAACGGTCGCCAACGGCCGCGCCCCGCCCCGCCCACAGGTGAGCGGTGGCCGCGGGGCCGGGACCGCCCCCGCGGAGCCTGCGCTGCCCCCGGGGCCGCCGCCGCCGCCGGGCCAGGTACGTGCCGGGGGGAAGCCGGGGGTTAATGCGGCTCCCGGGCCCCGGGGAGGTGTTCGTCTGACGGCGGGTGTTCGCTTCATGGCGGGCGTTTTTCCGCAGCGAGCCGTTGTGGTGATTTTAGCGGCGGGGAGAGTTTGGCGTGTGGGGGAGTTCGCAGGTGGGCGGCGTGGCGGGTGGGCTTCACCTTGAGCGCGGAGCCCGCCGCTCCCCGGAGTTGTGTTTTAGCTGTGAACGCGATCCGGGTGCTTTCCAAGCGTGAGACGTTTTCCTTGGAAGGCGGGTGTAGGCGGTGTGTGGTTGTGGGGCCGCTGCGGTCGCCAGTGACCGGTAAATACCGCAGTTTAACTTGGGGGAAGGGGACGCAGCGGTGGCTGCGACAGCCGGGAAGTGCCCTTGGGAACCTGTTCTGCCCCTCCGCTGCCGTGCGCATTCCCGGAATGCCTTCCGTGCAAACATCCCCCCCGAAACGCACAGGCGCACAAGTCACCCAAGGCTCAGACCTTCTAAGGCCTGAAGGAGCCGAGTCTAGGGCTGAGCCTTTCCCCCCGCACTCGCGCTGTGATTTAAGCAGCTCCCTAAATGGTTTTGGTGGGGAAAAGGGATCCACAGGTGGAAGTTTTTCCTAAACTGTTAAAATTACCCAAGTGCGGCACCAGCAGTCTGCTGTCCTTTAGGCTATATGTTGCGATCATTACCTTGATTATTATTTTTCATGTATTATTTTTTTCAACACAGATGTGTCGTTGGCCTGCTGCTGGTCCTTGAAGGTAGGAGCCTTAATTGTGCATCAAAGCCCTTTTCCAAGGAGAACAACCTCGGCCTCTGTGAGGCAGCTCAGGATCTAAGCCTGGTTTTGCCCCTGGCTTGTACAACCCTTGATAAACTGCCTACAAAACAGCCTGCCACTTCAGTCTCAGTGTCAGTAGTTTGTCACAGAAGGCTTGGATAGAATTAAGAGGGACAATAATTGAACCTGTAACTGAAAAGCTTCTTTCTAAAAGTCATGTTTACACAGAGAAGTATCTTATTCCAGGACTTTTCAGATAAAAATATGCAGTATTGGAAAGTGGAACCAACTTCAATAGGTGAAATGAAACTGACTTCCTGGTTTTGTTTTCCTCATTTGTTAGAACAGGAATTCAAAAATAAACAAGCACAGTGATAAGTGAACTGTGTTTTTAAAGTTCTGGTTTGGATAAATGTGCAGTAATAGTATGACTGAAGAAGTGTGTGGGCAGCATTTTTCATGCTTCTTTTATGAACTCTTAAGTTGATCTCTTAAGTGCTAAGAGAGAACCATGAAGTCCTTGTGTGTTTGAGCTGTGTGAATTTATTCACGATCAAGGCTACATGCTGATATCAGTTTTTGTTGGTTATATCACTTTTAAGTTTAGTGACTTTATTGGTTGAATCGCTCAGAGTCAAAAACTGGCTTTGGTGGAAAGGGGTTGTGCAAGTTTGTATAGGGGTAAGCGCTTGTGCTGTGCTGTCAGAATTGGTTAAATTTTGAAAATGGTTAAATTTTGAAATTCAGATATAGCTGAAGACTGTTATTGTTTCGCAGGGATTGCGTTACTGAAATTATATCTCCTGGTTTGTTTAAAACCAATTCAAATTCAGTTAAATTTCCAAAATATAGGAATTAGGAAATTCGGTTAAAATTCCAAATATTTTTCATGTTTTTAAGTGAGACTTGGCAGAGCACTGGATCTTTAGGTTAAGGATGGCCCCTCTCCTGACCGTGTGAACTGCAATCGTGAGTTGTGTTGGGGCTAGAGATGCAGTGTGTCCCTCGGAGGTGGAAACTGGAGAATCCAGGCAGAAGCTGCTGCTCAGGGTAGGGTCACATAGCAAAGCTACTCAGGAGTGACTCCCCACCTTTAGTCTCTGTAGTTTTTGCTGCTCACCGTATTTGCGGTGTTTTTAAATTGATGTTTTTAATGACCTTAGAACGTGTAGGTGAAAGTACTGATTAGATGTGTAAGACCAAAAGGGAATGGAGGTAGAAAGTAATTGTAAAAGAATGGCGCCAAGACCTTTATATTTTAGCAACACTGCTGGGCATTACTATAATAAGGTGCAAATTGTGTTGTGCATCTATGCTATTCAAGCCTGACAGCTTAAAAACTAACAACTCAATGCCTTTTCAAGAAGACAGTTATCAGAAAAGCTTTCTTTGTGTCAATGAGAGACTGGCAGGTACTATTACCAGAAATACTAAAGAACGACTTAGTTGCACCATCAAATTTTCCCTGACCCAGACTAAAATAAACCGTTTCATTATAAATTATAAGGTATTTTTAAAAGAAAACTAAAGAAACCGTTCTTTTAAAAGAAAACTAAATATAATCATAGGCTTATAATATTCAGCTCAAGAAACAAGAACATTTAAAGGAGGAAAATGAAAGTAGAAATGTTTTTCTGCTTCTGCTAGAAGTCTTTTGTTCATAGTTCCTGAATCTTTCATGCTTTATTACTGAATTCACTTTGTGATATTGATGCAATCCATATTCCTGGAGAGTTTATCTCTTCCTCCTGCGCACTCTGTCTTTGGGAAGCATAATCTTTGATCTATGAGGACAGTAATTTTCGCAGCATATGCAGACGGTGACTGCAGATGGGGAGTAAGTAGCATGAACTGATGAACATGTAAGAAATAGCAGTCTTCTCATCATGCAAATATGGGGTCTAGGGGGATCATGCCTCACTTGCAAAAGAAATTGTGAATCCTGAGAGTGCTGCCATTTATTTCAACAGGGGCTGCAAATGCCTCTCAAAATCCAAGGCTATCTGTCCCAATTTAGGTATTCGGAGTGAGGGGCCAATACTGAATTGGAGCTGTTATTTTGAGTTTTACTTTAACGAGTGGTTGTATGTGTAAGCGTTCCTCAAAACTCTATTTTTATGGTATTCCAAAGGCAGGTTAATGTATTCATTTTTGCCCTCCAGAGACTGTGGCAGATAGGGCAGTCGTAGGGAGCAGTCTAGGATCAACTCTCCTGTTGAGCTCAGTTCCTCTCAGTTGCATTTTATTCCTAGGCAAACCCATAGGTAGTCTTAAAATCATCTATGAGAGAAGTTTGGTTTAGTGACTTAGTTTAGTATCTCATTGGAAACTGTTCACAGAGGCAAAAGTAGAATCCACACGTTTGATATTAGCTCTGAGGCCATGTATTCCTTTTCTGTGTGCAAGCTGTACCTTCTTGATAGTATGACAAGAGAGGAAATAATCTTTTCAATAAAGATGAACAGTTCTCCTTCAGTGCCCCTAAATCACATTATTTTTTTGTGCTGTGGCTAGGTAGGAATTACACAGAAAGAGAAAATCCTCTTCGGAGCCCGTAATTATAAGTGTGACTTCACATGTACACATGTGAAGGTAATATATTATAGAGGTAAGCTTATCTCTGGCATAGATGACAACTTGAGCACTGGGCGTCGGAAACCTTTTGGTCTTCGTGTAACAAACTCTGTGACTTTGTGTCTGTATATAACATTTTAATTAAGAAAAAAGAACTCTGTACTATGGTAATTCTATTGTAGGGCATGAGGCTGAATAGTAAGGTTAACCATGCAAACTTCTGCCTTTTGATGTGATGGAGTAACTGCTAGCAGTTGTAGCTTGCTGTTTCTGAGGCTGAGAGGTATAAGAAATGGTGAGACAGAAGAATCTTGGGTTTCCTTTCAGGCTGTATTAGTGGGCACAGATTTTCGGCTTATTGTCCCTGGCTGGGATTCATTCAGCTCCTCTCCTGTCTCGTCTCTCCTCTCTTATCTTGTTCGAATCCCATTTCTTTCACTTAGCCTTCTCGGTAACCCTTCCTGAACTCCGCTCCCGCTTGCGTGCTTCTCTTGACATTAGAAAATTTCTGCCAGCAAATCAAGTCGGGGAGAGCTGAAAATAGGGTCTTAGACTTGAAAGTTGCAGGGTAGCCGTAATGATACCAACCAGGCTATGATACCAGTCTTGTCCATAATAAAGAAAATCCCCAACAGTCTAACTTCATTGCCCTTCAGTGATGTCTGCCTTAAGGGCTCTGTCTTTGATTTGCTCATTCTCAAGATATCTTTTATTCTTTTTCTTATGTTAATATATCCCGGGGATAGTTTTTAACTGTAAATTCTTATTGAAGACTATAGCTGACACTTTATGTATGCTGCACAGTGCTTGTATCTCAGTATTTTTTTCTAACTTTGAAATTATCACCTCTGGAGACTTTGGGCTTCCTCTTCTACATCTACTAACTTCTGCTAACATCGGGGAATACAGTATCATTGGGATAACATTGTAGGATTATGCTCATAAGCTGCACATCAGAGCTTTGCATGGAAAGCTCACCAGAAACCCTCCCAGGGGATGGTGGTGTTCATCCCCGCCACCATTTTTTAAACCACACTAAAATTTATTCATTACCCTATCTAAACAGTGGCACACTGTGGCAGAGTAATGCAATGAAGGTAACATACAGCAAGTTGAAACGTATACCAATTTTCCATGAATAGACTAAGATATGATTTTTAAACTGTTAGTTAAGCCTCTTTATTATTGTTAGAACTATTTTACCCCCCCCCCCCTTACAGAGTTTGTGGCCATTTGAGCACCTACTTAGTAGCCATCTATGGGGAATTTGCTAGCCAGCACCTGGCTCACAGAGATGGCCATGTGGAATCTTGGACTGGATGCAAAGAGTTGAACAGGAAAAAGGCACAAGGCAATAGCCGTAATTTTCTGTTTTCCTGTGAGTAGCTTCCAACTAGTGTCATCTGGCTCTGAATTACCTATGTGGAAATTCTGATTTGGATGATGTCCATCCGAACCTCAAACCTCATCCTTCATACACTTTGCTAAGATCCTGACCAACTACAAACGTTAGTCACCCCTGTGTGAACATTAAAGAAAAACCATTAAAGAAAAACCTGACTTGTTAGTCCACTGAATGTATGAATGCTTAATAATACACACGCTGGACAACGAGGGCACTGGATGCTAAATCCTGCAGTACCCCATCGTAGCTTTTATTCCATAATAAGAAGAATTAGAGAAAATTCTGAGCATCAGACAACTGAGTACATTTTTAGTTATAAAAGCCATTGAATTATTAAAGAAGAATACATACCTAACCTGCCCTAGAAGAAACTGAAAAGACTAAGATGTTTCCTGTCACAGAGATTCCAAATCTGTCTTTTGATTTATCATTCAGGAATTTTTCTGACTTTTGAGTACGAAAAAAAGCACAAAAATGTATATTTTGTTTACTGTATACACAGTGTTTAGTAAGTGTACAGATACTACACAGGTAGCGTAAATGATTTGAAATAATGAGAGAAGTTAAGAATTTAATTTGATTTTTTTTTTTCTTTTTCCTTCTAAACCACAGTCTTTCTCTTCTAGTAAATGCTACTAACCACTGTCATTAGCAGCACTGAAGTTTCCTTCTGGAAGTGGTCCCCGAGCTTGAGAAGCAGCTTTCTAGGAGCTTGGATGTGAGACTGAAATTCAGAAGTTTGGCAAGTTCCCTCCAAAGTGGGTTTGAACAGAGTCTTTGCAATAAAACCTGATCTCTTTAGCTTCAGAAAATACTGAAACTCCTAGCAGCTTCTGCCCTTTTAGGGCAAGCTTTAGAGCTGAGTTGAGTTGGGATTACCCAACATGTTAGAAGATTTCTTTGTTCAAATATACAGTGCCTGTTCTTGAATATGAGACTTATTGTTGCCTCTCAGATGAAATATGAATGAAAAGAAAAGTGGCCTTCCAGTCCATTTGTTT